TTTTAATGATGAAAAAGAGCTTGTTTTATTAAAAGCAACACTTAATAATATCTCCTATCAAAGCAAGGTTGTTTTTTTAATGACACATGCATGTTTAATACATGCTTTTTGTCAACACCGTCAGACATTCAATAAAATGTAATAAAATCAGGGAATATCAGGGGCAGCTGTCACTCTAAAGGACCCCCTTGCCACAGTTCACATCTGCAGAGTATATCAGTGTCAGACAGGCTCTGCTGAGTTTTATAGGTTTAGAATATTTTAAATCCGAATGTTAATATTTCCTGTGTCACAGCCATATGTCAACACCATCTTCCAATTTCTGAGGAAATTATTTGAAATATTTAGATAATTGTATTCTCCTGAAGCAGGTTCCATTAGCATCTAGCATGAACAGAAAACAATAAAATGGCTACTACATAAACTTAATTGGTTTTGTGAAAGAAATGCCAAATTTGTCAACACCGTCAGATGTCACCACCATAAGATTTTGTGTTCCAATGATATATCAAAATACTTAAATGTGACTCTTGAATAAAAACTTTATAAACAATAACATACTCACTGTTTGTTGTTTGTTTTAATACACTAATTGTCTGATTCAATGTATTTGATAGTTAAAATTACTACAAATTCTGGTTTTCGTCACCTCCGTCAGATGTGCCACCCTTCGTCAGATGAATATTTTGATCAAATATGATTATGATATTTTATATTTGTTGTGGAATTGTTGGTCACATGTGAAAGTGTAATCTGTCTGCTAACACGAGAATGTGTTTTGAAATGTTAAAAACATCTTGAATGCTGTTAAAGATAAAGCTGAAATTATATTACACAGTCTAAGGTAAAAAAGCACATTTTGTTAAAAAAAGAGAACAGTTGGGAGGTTGTATCAAAGCATAGCTCAGTAGCTTAGTACATATAAGATACATAAATGTAGTTTCATTTGTCCGAGTACAAGGTTTTATTTTTTCAATTTTGCACCATTTTGTCCCACTTCTCAAGAATGACTGATTTACTTTTTGATGATGCAATTGCACCATAATTATACCACAAAATATGTTTGTATGCAATTGTTCAATCGATTTACTTACACTATAATAGAAATGTTCTTAATACCACAAAAGTAAACACATGGACGTTATCTACATTTCGTTAGAAAAATAAAAAGGTACCACTCAGTGTTTTTGCTATTAAATGTAAAACTTTATTTGAATTTCAGACATAGCTCCAGTATTCGTTTTAAACATCTATCTTTACTTCTTGATTCGCCATCCTTCCCTGTAAATATAATTGTGAGAGACCAGATGACTCTGGAAACTTCTGGAAATCCACTTTCAAACACACAAAGTAATTCAAGCAAAACATCTGAAACAATAAAGAATGTATAAATGGGGCACAAAAATAAAATAATTAAACACTAAAAGCTTCATAAAGTAAGCAAAGAATAGATCTTTGTGTGTCTAATTGAGAGCGCCTTAAGTTGTAGATTTAGAGTTAATATGTGGTTGAATATCCATGAATATCACATTGCAGTGGAAGGTTTTCAGTCCAGAACTGTCTGAATTTAATCCAACCTATTAAAAAGCTTTCTTTAAATTACAATACAAGCATCCTTACCTCCATATTTACATTTCTCACACTAGAACTGATGATATTCTTGCCAATATGTTGCACCAAAAAGCAGAGAGAGATTCAGACACGCAATATTAACAAATAAAAGATAAAACACAAACTTAGTGAATATTGGAAAGACAACTGAGACCGATAATGCGAGACAAAATGCACAAATATGACACCGGATGCACAGTTTGACTATTTACAATTTGGCTGCAGCACAAAATAAGATTATCTCCTAGCACTGTGCAATAACGCATTCCTCAAAAGAAACATTGTACATCGACACATACTATCAAGTCACAAATACTAAGTGCAAGACCATCATATTTCCCTGATGTATTGCCAACTGCCACCAGCACCTCAACCATACATGAAAAAACACAATCAATCCCTTAGATGTAATTCACCTTTTAGTGAGATTTACATTGTGATAGTACAGTATTTTACCAAGAATAACATGCATTAATATACATGTTTTTGTTAACTTCACATGGCTAAACACTTTCTTTTATCTTAATCTTCAGGCCACATGTAGGCATGTATGTGGTTTTAGGAGGGACAACTTGATTAGACTATGCAAATCCTGGATTTACTGCCTAGGTTCAAGTCTAGATTTGCTCTGTAAAGGTATCCATCCTCATACTTGGACTCTGTGAGGATTGTACAAAGTCTTACAGCCTGGAATAAATGAGCTGTTAAGATCCACTGAGCTGTCAAGTTTCCAATGATTTACAACAGCCCTGTGCAGACATCTTCGCACTTTGAAGAAGCTACAGGGGTTAATTGATTAATGCCCTTTGAAGAAGGACACTTTGCTAAATGATGAGAAAAGAGTATCTTTTTAAAAGACCATAAAGGGAAAAAATGGGTCACAGGATATAATATTCCCCAAAGTCCTTTGTATGTCTGAAACCCGAAAATAAGCTGCATATCAAAGCAATCTATGGGTAATGTTTTCCAATACTTTTTATATATGTTTAAGCATGTAACTTTGTCCAAGTTTAAGTAGAGAATTTTACTATTTAGGTCTGAAATATTTTACAAATATTCAACCAAATGTGCTGCTCAATTCTGCAAATTTCCTTCCGCACCTCATTCCTCAGAAAATACAGATATTTAGGACCAAATCGACTCATTTTGTTAAGACGGATAAGATGATTACGTCATCATTATCTCAGATGATCAAAGGGATCATGTGCATCACATTACATATGTGTTGGATATCACAAAATAAATCGCACATTAATCCCATTAATACATACACTGCTGTTAAGTGTACACAAAAGCTGAATGACTCCAGATGCCCATAAGATATAACACATATAGCCACCACTGTCTATGAACATACTTTATCTTTTAACGCATTCTTTGTGCAATGACAATTTCATATTCTTAAGCCCCCTTTCATTCTCATGCGACATTCAGAGACCATTTCTGCTCTTGGCTGTTATCATTGAATTGCAACATTCTCTGTTTACACCCAAAAGCTGTCATTACAATAATCTAATCAGCAAGATTGGAACCGCTTGCTCAGATTCTACCATGGAAGGTGAAGGCTGAGAATAGTAAAACAATCCAGTCGTAAGCAGCTGTTGGTTCAACTGAGCCATATTTAGAGAGTGAGAGGTAGAAGTGTGGATGAAGGCTACACAGCTACCAGCCACTCTTTACCAAAATTGATCTGACTATTCTGTTCACTGACTTTTTTTTTTTTAAAGAAATTCTCATAAAACATTCATTAATTTGTCATTATGAATGATAAGAGGGCTGCCAATGTAATCTGGGGCCAATGGCTGTCAAGTATTGTCTATATAGAAATCAATGCCTTTTAAAACAATCCTAAATAATTGTTAAATTATTTGACACTTTTAAAAGCATCTTTTGAACAGCATTTTATGAAGTCTTCAGGGGTTTGTTCATAATATCACTAATATACAGGGTACACAGAGTAAAGTGCATCATGCTCCACCAGGGCCTGGAGT